TAGAGCAAAGGCCTGAGTTTAGTTAAACTTCTCATGCTCTGGAGGGGCGTTCACAGATGGAATGCCTCCGAGGTGCATTTGGAGAAGGGTTGTCTTGGGCCCCGGGCCAGACACATGACCTGTCTGATCCAGCTTGCCTCAAGTTTCTTACTCAACTCAACAGATCTTATTGGGCTTTCATTTGAGTGCATAATAAATGTCTTCTAGTGCAAAATTAGTGTTGTATTCTTGAACTAAGACCTCTGGCACATATGTGTGAGAGAGAAGAGACCCAGAATCATCAGTGCCTTCTCTTAGAGTGGTTGTGCCCAGGTCAGTCATGGTGACAGTGATACCTGCAAGGTTTGTGGAGGTGTGCTGGGAGGGTGGCACAGGTAGGTTTGTGAAGGGCCTGTGGCTGTGGACAGGTGTGGACTTCATGCTGTTGGCAGTATGTCCCCTGGGAAGGACTCAACTATGAGAGTCCATTGGACCAATCAGTGTCAGGGTCCCTGCTGGCTACAGGCAGAGATTTCTCAGACTGTGTGTTGCCAGGACTGCATTTAGGTTGAGCCGTATTTCCTAGAAGACACAGCAGACTACAGAACTCCTGGGCAGGAGAGGAGAAGCATGGGTCTGACTGTATATGAGGTGACATGGATAAAACCTAGAGATACACTGGATATGAGGAAAAAGGGAGTAGATAGTGTGGATTCATTTGTTTGTTTGTTTTGGGTTGGGGTCTCTCCATGGACATCAGGCTAGCCTGCATGCTGTGATTCTTCTCATTAGCCTCCCAAATGTTGGGTCCCAGTGTCTGCCCCATACCTGGTAGGAGATACCTTTAATGAACTTCTTCCTCAAACCCACTGGATATATATTACTATGCTGGTGTATACAAAGTGCCTGGAACCATGTGGAAACATGCAGAGAAAATTTCATCACCCTCATTTTAAAACCAAACTCCTGCACATTACAGAGCCTAAGCTTTCTCCTCCCAGTCTTACATTAAGGTGTTGTTGTTTTATCTAATTGTGTTTTGCCAACCAAGACTGCGGAAGTCCTTGCCCCATACTATATGTCTTGCAGGAGGGAGCTCCCCTCTTTTTGGGTGAAAGTGACTATTACTGAGCCTGGTTTCTTCAAGACCAATATGACCAATACCAAAAAGATCATACTACGCTTACAGGAGGTGTGGAACTGCATCAGCTCAGAGGTTAAGGACGTCTATGGAGAGAAGTTTCTGGAATCCTGTAAGTGAGCTGAGGAGAGTGGGGAGAGAAGCAAACCCCGGCCGGGTATCCTTCCTTAGTGTATGTTTAGCGTCTTCAATAGCATGAGGTCTACTCCAGGCTCTGTCTTGCCACAATGTGAAGACATTTAGCCACATTCCCTTGGTGCCACATTGGTTATGGTCATGTAAGGAAGGCTTCTTGCTTATTGGAACTTGGGACACTCTTTCACCTGAACCACTCATAATGCAGATAAAATTACACAGGAGCGGAGACACCTGTGCACTCCTGCCCCTCTCGCATGGGAGACAGCTTATTGCACATGCTTGGATAATTTTCAGTGTTCAAGAGACCTTCAATTTATACAGCCCAGTTATCCCAGGAAGAGGTGGAGGTGGCTTAGTGTGGATCCCCAGTTGATTGAGAATGAGTTGTGGCCCTTCCTGGGGAGTTTGTGGAGATTTGATTTAGATGGGTTCTGGATGTGGGGGCCATGAATTGGCAGGGAAAACTTCGTCCTTAAATTGATCCTAGAGCAGGAATGGTGTCAGGTGATAATAAATATGGATCATTTCTCTTTCTGTACAGGTCTGAAATCATTGAAATTAATGGAGCACAAGTGCAGTCCAGACCTCTCCTTGGTGACAGAGTGCATGGAGTATGCACTAACTGCCTGTCACCCTCGCACCCAGTACTCAGCAGGCTGGGATTCCAAGCTATTTTACCTCCCCTTGAACTACCTGCCCACGTTCCTGGTGGATGCCTTTCTGTATTTGAGCTCCCCAAAGCCAGCAAAAGCCCTCTAAAGCCAACTCTTGGTTGTGTGATCAGGGAAGATGGGTAGTGTGTGGGTTGAAACATGTGAGGGAGTGGGTGGAGCAAAGCAGTTCTCATACACCAGGGCCCTTGTTCCACCCCCTCGGTGCAGGGGACTTTTCTCAGGGATTACTCAAGACTGGTGAAGTGAGAGAGAAAGGGCCAAGGACCTCTGCTGAGGAACAGGGACTCAGCATCACTCACTCATGCCCAGTTGACAGAAAGCTGCTGATGGCTCTGAGCAACATGGCCAACGATGAAGAATCTACCCTCTGAGGTTGCTGGGAGCATGTGGCATGATGCACAGCACATGCCTCACTTCCCATTGCTGTCCTTCTAAGGGTACGCATTGCTCTTGGCTCCACTCTATTTTTCCACAACATAGAAATGGCCTGGGAGATGTAGGGTCCCTCTCCTTTGCAATCACTGTGTAGGTGGAATCAGGTGGAGGGTAGTGCCACTCTGTGTCCTTAGCCTTAGTTGGTTTGTCCTAGACCTCTCCTCTACACAGATCCTGGCAGAGGGTGAAGAAATTGTCATGGTTTGTGTCTAGATGTCTCTCCAATGCTCCATCAAATCATAGGTGTGGCTGCTTCAGAGGTGCCTGAATCTAGAGTGTGTGACGCTGGGATTAAGGGTGTGTGATTACTAAATGAGTCCATTGATTACTTTGGCATTGCACTATTCCAGGTAGCTTAGACAGAGTGTGAAGGGGTCAGAAAGCAGCTGCTAAGGCCCCTTATTTTGGTACCTTCTGCCTCGCATGAACTGTTTCTCCTGTGCAATGCCTGTCTGCCATGTCACCCTACCTTGGAGGAGGGTGATTATGGACTGAAATGTCTTCATACTGTGAACTAAGTAAACTTTTCCTCCCTTAACTTTGGGTGTTGAGTCATTTTTCTCAGGAACAAGAAGTAGGGGACACAAACCAACTTCTTTGTCTTGAAATCATGGCTTATTTTGATACTTTTGTTTAAAATAAATAGAATCTTGGGTACTGGAAAAGGGGACCATGCCCAGTGACCTGAAACATTGTTGGAGAAGAGGCGGGGTGCTACCACAGGAGGAAAGATGTGCTTCTTGGAAGTCAAGGATGAGCAGGATGACTTGTGGAGTGATTACATACTGCCCGCTCTCAGGCTATCTGGACACAGAATGAGGTACAAGAGTTTCCAATTCAAAACTTCCAAGTAGTCGAGCTCACAAGAGTAGAAAGAAGAATGGGCAAGCAAGGAGATGTTGAGAAAGGACAGAGCACGTTGCACTTTCTTTTGTGGGTGGCTGAAGCATTTTTCCCTCATCAACCCTCACTCTAAAGTCCTTGTAGTTATAAGCACTGCCATTCTTCCAGCGCCTTGTGTCGCTTCCACTCCCACACTGCTCCAGTGGCTGTGATGCAGTCCCTAGAGGATATGAGTTTTTCATTACCTGATCAGCATTTGTGGAGCATCTGCTGTATTGAAGCAGGAACTTGACTCACCCCTGGCTTCCTGTGACCTGGGTGTGTATGTTGCTGTATTGTGAGGATGTTCTCCAGCACTGGCTGAACTGAGTATGTGTATGCAGAATGTCATAGATTTCCTGGGCTAATTCGAAATTGGAGTTGAGAGGAACCTCCCCTGTATCTTAGTTTTCTTTCCTGAGTATAATGCTTAAGGATATGAAGCCTTTAGTTATTAGTGAATATTTAAAGAACGATCAGAGTGCATTATGCAAATACAAAGTTATGGCCCCTGTTCCACAGTCATACATTTCCATTTTTACTGCTATAGAAAAGTGTTCCAATTATACTACTTTGAGATACTGGGCATTGTACCCGGATGCTCCTGTATTCTAGCCAACAGTTCTACCACTGAGGTTCTTCTTTTCTGGTCTTTTTTATTTTTATTTTGGGACAGGGTCTTGTCAAGTGGCCCAGCTGAGTTCAAACTTTTTCATCGTCCTGAATAGCTACAATTAAAGTTTACCCCAACATGCTTGGCTGAAATATACCACACAGTTCATATCAACGGGGTTCTAGGTGATGTTTTGGGGCCCAATGATTTTAAAACTTATATTGAGTATTGGCTCAAGCTTGTGAATGTTGAGGAAACAATAGTAACCAAGAAAAATCCTTGAGAAGCTCTCAGTCTCTGAATGGTTCATGCCAGCTCATACAAAGTCACTTCATATTATCCCCTCACAGGCAAAGCAAGAGCTTAAAAGTGTCAAGCCTCCTGAACTTAGAACCATTGAGACATGCACACATGCAGACCTCCTACACAGGAAGCACGCTCACACACATAAAACATGCCCAAGTAAAACTAAAGGTCACTGACTCACTTTATAGGCTGGTGGAACAGGTGTTCACAAAATTTGAACCCCTCCTTCCCCATGTCCTCTACAGAGGGTAAGAGAGCTGTGAGCATACAAATGCCTGTGATGCTTGTTGTAGTCCACGAGGGCGGGGTCCATTCCAGCTGAATCCATAGCCCTAACTGACTCTGGGGTGTCAACTTGGTCATGGCTCGACAGCAGAGACATAAAAGGAAGTGTCATGTAGAACAATCCAAACCTTCATACTAGATGTCAGGAGAGGCCTCTTTCCATTTCTTCTTCTTCCCTGAAGACTTCTTTCCTGAGCTCAAACTCAGGATCTCTGGGACTAGAGTCCATCTCATTTGAGTGCACAGGATGCCAGAGGAAGGACTTCATGTCTTCACTTTGGTGTTCTGCCCTCTGTGAGAGGTACCAGGTCAGTGAGTCCTAACTGAAGATCTTCAACTCATAGATATTTGGCCACTTCATTACATGGCTGTTCCTACATTTCTGGTTCCCCACCCAGACTGAGTAGGGTTTCCAGTCTGTAGGGTTGGCCAGTGCTGGACACAATGCACTCCCACTTCCTGTCCTTTCCAGCTCTTCTTCTGGGTCTTCCCTTCTCATCCCCCTGGAGATGGAGGTATGGGTGGTGTCTTTCTGATGCTGGAAAGAGTGACCACCGTGTGGTTGACTTGGTTCCCTTCAATTCCGTAGGTGGCCTGGCCCAGAAGTGCCCTGAGACATCCACGTGCTAAGCAGCACAGGCTTGTTGCCTGGCTAAGCCCTTTACCCAGAGTGTAGATGTGAAGGGCTTGTCACTGTTGGATGCCTTGTGTGGGAGTCTCAGGGAAGTGATGTATTGGGGATTTCAGAGTGTCAGCAGCAGGGGCCTCTGAGG